TATCTGTCTTTTCTATTTGCTTCTATCTCTGTGGTTGCCCTTCCTTCTTAATCTGTAGGTATCCAGGCCTCTTAGGTGGTTCTCTATCTAGACACTCGTTTACAATGCTCCAATGACTCACGTATCCCCACACATGTTGGTGTCAATGAGCTAAAGAGCCTAACTGGTTCGCACGAAGATTTAATGGCTTATGGGAAGAAGAATGCCTAAAATATTCGTGCAGGTTTGGCATTCTTAACTCAAAGTTAGAATTGGTAACTACAAGGAGTAAATATTTAATGATGTGATTGCAGGTGTCTATTTATGTTTATATACACACATATATGTATATGTATGTATATATATAAAGTATGTATGTGAATGCACATAGCAAGTGTGTATAAATATGTACAGATATTTATCAGGTGCATATAAATGTGTGTATGCAGGTATATAGTTAAGCATTCCACAAGAGAAAACCATAGAGGTAAGTATTACCAACTTTTTGCAGACTGCAGTGTCCTGTGATGCCAATATGGCAGAACTGGAAAATAGGTAGAATTTGGTTAACTAACTCAAAGTATTTGGAAGGAAGAAGACTCTGTGATACTGAATACTGAGACTCTTAACGTGGTAAGAACCCATTAGCAGAGAAGGCAGAGATGGCGAGAGAGTCTCATTGTAAGGCCCTCTTGTGGGTACTTTGATCCCTTCATCAGTTTTTGTGTAGCTGTGCACTCTACTTAAAACAAGCCCACAATCTGCAGAGCTTAAAACACCATCATGGAGGCCCAAGTCAAAAAGAAATGGACTACAAGATTTAACTGATGAACCCACAGCATCTAAACTGTGGTTCATCTTGTTATCTAGACTTTTTTTTTAGAACCATGTGCAAGATGTATTCGTCTTATCTACATCCCCTCAAAGTATCAAGTACTCTATTTGGGAACCTGATTTCTGGGTTAACGTCACCCCCCATTATGTCATATGCCATCACGCATGGCATTTTGTGGACCCGTAGAACGTCAGAGCTGTGAAGTGTGTATCTCCTTAATCTCTAGGCGTGGGATGTGAGACCTAGATGGACACATTCCCATGCCCGAAATGGCCCAGCTAGATTGTGACAGAAGCAGGAGGAAAAACTAGTCTGCCTCTCCAGTCCTGCATTCTTTACTATGTGCCGGGCAGAATCTCCAAGCAGCATGATCCTGGTTACTAAATCACGTCACCGCTCCCTTTGCACAATACCGGATTCCAGAAGACTTAACTTGATCATAAATGCTACACAGGAGACAAATAGCTTGGTATCATTGTTTCAGAAGCCTTGGTCTGCAAAATGGCTTTGATTTATAGACAATTTATTGAGTGATTATCTTATTATTAGACTAATGCTTTATTTACCTTTTTGTTGGGAAAACACTCTTGGAAAACTAAGATATTAAAGCCTTGAAAAACAGCTATTGGACAGGTCCAATTACTGTATTTCATAAAAATTTTTAAATGCAGAAATGTAGTGAACACATTTTGTATTGGGAATATATATTTAGCTGTTGGACTATAACAGTTCAAATAGAATCATTTACAGCTTATTGAGTAAATAAAAGTGCTTCCATAAAGATTCACATGACACCTAGCTTTTATTTCAGGTAACTAATTTCTTTTTGAAAAATTGCTTAAATTTAGATTTACATGAGAGAGTACCAGAATACCTCAGCAGTTTAAAAAGTAATTCAAATGACCATGGACTTTACAGATTTAAAATGTAAGATCAGGTGGTGAATATTAACTTTTAATGTCTCTGATAAAAAAGTTATTTAACTGTCTTTTACTCTGGGTGTTATATTAAAAGTGGTATGGTGTATTTCTGGATACTATTTGAAACCAGAAAAATAGTTCATATTTACTTGTTTTTTTAACATCACATTCTCAAGTCAAGATTTCACCAGAGTTTTTGCTGGCTTGTTTACAAGCTATTAAGTGACTTAAAATCAGATTTTATCCCATTTGGTGAAAAAAAAATATTTCCAGCAGTGTATGGAGTATAGCAAATGACCCTGCTAACAACAACAAAAAAAGTGTTTTAATTTATACAAAAGTAAATCAGTGTTTTCTCAGTGGAGGGCATACCTTTTGGGGGTGCAGATCTTTAAAAAATATCTTTTTCTTTAGGGATTATTTTCCATGGATAGGACATAAATAAGAAGATAGCATGCAAGGAGTTAAGACTCCAATTTTAAATACTAGACCCAATATCCCATTTCACGCTTATTTAGTTTTAAAAAATGTTGTATTAGAGGAAAAGAGGCTTTCGGTCAATACGGTGGAGAAGAGACATATTACAAGGTTAAGCTGAGAAAAGGCAAAGTTCCTTTGTAGAGGGCCAAGACCCATAGACTAGAGGAGAAATGAGCAGTGAGAGGCCTTCCCCACAGGATGGTTTTCTTAATGTGTAATGCGTTCGACTGTGGGAGTCACAAGAACAGGAAAGGAAACTCGAAGAACAGAGTACAGAGTTGAGTAGATCATATATACCTTTAGCATTGCCGAACAGGAGTGACTGGTCAGTTTGGCATGGTCAGCTTTCTCTAGTCTAAGGCGTCAGAAAGAAATACCTTCAGAGATGACCTGACCTCCCCGGGTCTGATTTTGTACACTCCTCTCTTTTCACACACTGTTTTCTCAGACCAGAACTTGAAATATAAAGATGTAGCAACAAACTTTTGAAGTCTCACCTCGCAAGTTTCTTTGATCATAATAAAGAATACTATTGCTGTAACTAAACCATGGTAAGAAGGAAACCAGGCCTCGCCATCTCCTGCTTTCTGGCATTCTCTTTACCCTCATTCTGGTCTGACAGCATGAGAAGCTAGTGGATGGCCCTAGATAGTCTTCACAACAGCAAAATCAATCCAGTAACGATGCTGCCAATTTAGACACGCAGCAAAACAAACGAACAAACAAACAAACAAAATCAGAAAAGGTGTTTCTCTTGGCAGTGAGAGTGCAGGAATCTACAGCTCCAGCCCCTGATGTAATGAGACGCCTCCGTTCAGGTTCTGACCTGAGATGCTCAGACCCTGTCTTGCAGTTTTCCGGGTGAAACTTCATTGGTGCCTCTAATCAGGGTCAGCACCTGATCTCGGAATGCCTTCTCCTTCCTTCGGGATAAGAGAAACCCTCTCCTTCATAAAGTCATTCAAGTGGTCATTTTAGGTGTTTTTTTTTTTTTTTTTTAACTTCCAGCATAAAAAGGGATGATTTCCATCAGCTGTAGGCTTGCAGTGGAGTATCAAGAAATCAAAAGAAAAGAGATCAAAGAAAATTGCTGAACTAGGTGTTAGATGCAGCCATTGATTTTTCTCCAGTTGTAGTTTAAAAAAATCCACAAAAATGGTAACATATACAACAGTTGCATTTCTAATACTTTCCTAAAGCCAGTGATGGCTTTCCTCTTGTTTTCACAGGTAGAAATGTTTTTGGAGAATGTGACATAATAAAGCAGATCGCTATAGATCACGCTGCTTTAATTGTCAAAACTGTAAGAGAATCTACCAAAAAGATGTTTTATTTTTAAAACTCTGCAGTGTAAAGTGTGGTTTTTTATGGAGACACGTATGACTAGGCTTATGATCTCAGCAACATTTATTTGCTGAGAATCTGGAAACTTCTGACATACAATTGATCACTCGTTACTTACTATCAATAAATGTCATAAAATAATACCTGTCTGCTTTACTGAGAAAACTTCATTCATATTAACTACTGGTTATCAGTGTTACTTAAGGCTTAAATGTGTAGCTTCATCAAAATATTAATCTTGTTTTCAAGTATTTCACAGATGTGTGGATTTCTTAAATTTTACTTCTAGTAGTTTCTGGATACCAGTAGTGTTTTAAAACATATGGCCAATAGTTTTCATGTTGTAATCCCATGTTTTGATACACGACTTCCAAATACTTAGAATAGTTTTTATTAAAACAGAGTGGTGGCATTATTATCAAAGGAAAAGGCAAAAAGTTCATCTCACTAGCATTTTATATCTCAGTCTGCTATTTTCTAGAGGTCACTAGAATTGACTTATTTTTCTTTGTGCTATATTTGTCAATTAAATGAGTCTGTCTGATAGATTTTGAAAACATAATACCCACCATTCATTTTCTTCCCCCCCCTTTTTTTTTTTTTTTTTGAGAGAGAGAGAGCACATGAGTGTGAGCAGGGGAGGGGCAGAGAGAGAGAGAGAGGGAGAGAAAATCTCAAGCAGACTCTGCGCTGTCAGCGGGACCCTGACTTGGTGCTAGATTCCACTACTGTGAGGTCATGACCTGTGCCCAAATCAAGAGTCAGACGCTTAACCAACTGAGCCACCCAGGCACCCCTCACAGTTCATTTTCTAAGTGGTCAGATCTTCCATATTATATCGCAGATATTATATAGCACAGTGAAATAAACATTCTTAGCATTGATTTCTATAAATTGTCAGTGGAAGCAGAGGCAAAAATGCCTGATTGTATTGACTCTTTGATTCAATAACTTTCTAAAATTTTTATACAATGTTTTACTGTTTAAGCAAACTCCTTATGTCCTTAAAAGTTTGTGCCATTGAACACATCAGGGATTCAATCACATCTGGAAAATAATTTAATATTTCTATAGTATCATACAGATTATGGCAAAATTAAATGGCAATTCTACCCCATTTCATATTATCATGATTATGAGCCCACTTTTCCTGTTTGTGGTTTTAGATTCTGTTTAAGAGTTTTCAATTCTAGGGGCATCTGGGTGGCTCAGTCAGCTGAGCAACCAACTCTTGATTTCCCCTCAGGTCCCAATCTTGTGGTTGTGGGATCAAGACCCCACGGGGCTCTGTACTGAGCGTGGAGCCTTCTTACAATTCTCTCTCCCGCCCTGCCCCTCCCCACAAGCACGCGCATGTATTCTCTCTCAAATAAAAAGATAAAACCTTGCACAAAAGAGTTTTCAATTCTATGTGTATTTATTTTTTCTTCTTTATATTATAGACAGGATCACGAGACCACTCAAATCTCTCCGTTCCTTCAAGAGCTGCCCTTCCTGCTGACACAGTCGGTGTGGGTGAGTTTTTGCCTTTGAAGGCGGAACTGGATACAACTTACACTTTCTTAAAGGAGACCTTTGTAAGTCCTCTGACGTCATCTCTCTCCTCTCCAGTGACGATGTCTGCTAATGCCAAAAGACCAACTCCGATCGGATAATGACTTTATGAAATAAAAAAAATGCGGGAAGAGTTAACAGTATAATTAAAATTGTTTTGAAGGGGGATTTTCTTATCAGTTGACTTTTGTTTCAGCAACAGTGGCAGTGGATTGTTTAAAAATCGTGTGTGATCTCCATGTGTGCAGGTACCTCTACCTCCTTGAATAATGGAATAACCAACTTTTCCCCCCTCTAAGTTTTATTTATTATCACAGTTGCTCATTTTTATGTAACATATTTTTAAATGTTAAAGAATGACACATTTTGGGTAATTTCCTTCAGACTTAAAAAAATCAATAAGCCATTTTAGTCTCTATCTATCAAAGTTGTTTCATACTTGTCTATTTTAAAGCAGGACTGCAATACTTTAATAGGATTGAAAGAGCTATTTGAAATGTATGCCAATGATTCCTGTCATTTCATGGCAGCCCTGCTATGGTTCACTGAGCCCCCTCTTCTCTCTTGTCAGCTCGACTGAAGACAAGCATTTAGTTGCAAACTTTAAGCAGGTTGTGCAAAACAGAAATGATGTGACTGCTTCCCCTCCTGCACAATAATGTCACTCCTGGTCAATGTGAGAAGGTCAGGCTGCTCCTTGTAAAGCTACATGATACCACTTGCCCATTTGAACAAGTTAAGTTAACTGCCGAATCTGGTCCCTGCAGGCATTGAAAACCCATCCTTTTATCAGGTCTGCATTTGATCAGGAGGTAGAGCAATTGTGCCGGCAGGATTTGTGTGGCATGGTTAGGCACTTCGTAAGGACCGTTTCCCACACCGGGAGATCAGGTGATGCTAAATGGTATGAGCTGAAAAACTTCCAGGTAATGGCTGTTCTGACCTTCAAACTAGCCTCCTGGTTTTTTTGTTTGTTTGTTTTTTTTGTTTTGGTGGTTGGTAGGACCCAAGAGTGACTCCCATCTTTGATGCTGACAGAATTTAAAACAAGGCCATTGCCCTGCGTTTTCTGCCTTGTAGCACACAAAAGTAAAATTGTATGTCAGGCCGAGATGTCGGGGAGCTGACAAGATGCCCCAGTGACATTTCAGCTAGAAAGAGCAAGTGTCTTGCAACCAAGTGGTCAAATATCAAATAATAGGTCAAGCAGGAAGGAGCTGAGTTCTAACCACAAAGAGGTTTCTGGTAACTTACTTGACAAGCTTTTGGGCGCTTTGTGGCTTGACAAAGTGATGTTCTGTTGGGTATCGCTAGACAGACTGTTCTTTATCGCCTTCAGAAGATCAGACATTGACATTGATTAAACTCTTTAACCCTTAAAGGTTAAATCCTTGCAGTTTGCATCATGGTAAGTGAAGAACAAAGAAATATCTGTAATATGTATTTGCCTTTGTATTAATCTTTTAACTCCCCGGTGCTATTAACTTCTGATGTGAACTGTACTTTTTGACGGAGTTTTGATACAAAATCCATATTTTATATTATTTTTCATGATGGAGTTTTTCATTATGGATACATTAGAAAGTAACAGAATGTATTATGGAATCTATATTGTCTTCTCTTAACAGTGACACTTGATTCAAATACAACCAACTTCTGAGGGTTCTTTTTATTGGCCTTGGTAAATAAAGTGTGTATACTAACTATTTATGTGACGAGCCAAATTAGCCAAGTGATTTCTGCCTTCCCAGGTAACACTATTACTGTCGTACGGCGTAGCACAGTCCTATTTCCTACAGTACGGAGCCAGCATAACTAGCTTTAGATAAGTCTTTAGAAAGCCGTTTATGTGAAGTAAAATGACATCTTTAACCAAATTTCTCTTAATTCTTTCCCTGGACTTATTTTTATTAGCCACGCTGGGCTTTGAGCATTACAGAGTGTGCCCTGTGGAATGTGACATGCATGAAATTCAACTGGCGAATTTATTGTAACACAGAAAATGTTATGGGTTGTTTTTATATAGATCATAGAATAATTTCTGTGCATTTCAAAAACACTCTCTTCTGCTGTCCCATATGATTCAGACCATGTCTGTATAGAAATTGATACACAGCTTTTTAGTTCATGGGACATCACCGAGTTTCCAATTCCCACACTACAGAAAAACCGTGTTGCCCTTTATCACTTATGTGTCTGTGTGCACATAGGTTTGTGTTGAATCTATTTCCCGACTTTACTAATTTAAGAGGAACGAGCACCTATGTTAACTTAGCCTTAGATAGTCCTTGGTTTTCTTGCCTTAATTTTGCAATCTGTTAATGGGATAACACCGTAAATAAATGTGTATGTCTCTCCGTGTATGTGGGCATCTGATTTTACAGATCCATTTCTTACTGTAAATTCTGAACCACAAATTCAAAAAGATTATTAAATCAAATCAAAGCATGTCACATTTATAACCAACTAGATGCTAAAGGCCAGAGAAACTGAAGGATAAGCCTCCTGAGCAATCATTAGTATTCACAACCAAATAGAGTAATTTTTATACCATATGCTTTTCTCCCAGAAGTCAGACCCAGCAGGAGGAGAAGATTTAATGACATATCCTATGGAGATCTGAGAAACTCTAGACTGCTTCTGAGCACGCTAGTGGCCAATTGCTGCAGACTTGAGATCTGCGTTCAGTTGGCAAAGGACAGTTGCTCTATCAGCTTCTTTACCTCCTTACGAATGATATATAAAGTAGACATTTCTCAGGAGAAATGACTTCAAATATTTTTGTAAGGAAAAGGGATTTTCTTTACATCTTAGTATATGGAGTTTCTTACTAACCTCCTGTGATCTAGAAAAATACCTATATCATCCATCACTATCAAAGGGATTCTTATTGTTCTGATACCTAAGTCACACTAACCTATTGAAGCTTTGCCAGAATTTTTAATAGAAGCATCTGGGAATGACATGACACAAATGCAGAGGTGTGAGAAATTGTGAGAATGGCAACTCGATGGTAATGGCATAGGGAAATACCTTTCAAGTAGTAGAATGTTAACTTCAATTTACCGATGTCTGACGTTTATTAGTCTTAGCAACACTATTTCTTTCACATTTATAATGTATGCTGTTATCGGGTGCTTAATGATCATTACTATTTTCATGTTACTTTATTTACCAATTACATCTGAATTCATTCCGTAGTGTACTTTTTATAAATAAGTTTTCAAAGATAAAAGATGGAAAATAACCCGGTAAGTAGTAAGCCCAGAGCCGTTAAATCCAAAGCCCACATTATTTCTACGATGCCAGGCCTGCTCAAGAAATAATTAGTACTTTTGAAAGAGGGGAAATTCAAAAATTATCCCACCCACTTAGGAATACTTTTGAGAAGTTTGTTTTAGTTTGAAATCTAGATTCCTTAGCCACTGATGAGACAAAACAAAGCAAGAAACAACACGTCCATCCCTGTGACTAGCACTGGGCAGAGTAGTCAAGTTTGTATCTGTTTTTCAAACCAGTGCCCTTCATTACATTGCCCAGTGTCACTAGCTTGGGCTGAGAGACCTCAGAGGTGCTCTCAGAGAGACCTTCAGTTGAAAGATGGTGATGATCAACCAGCCTGACCAAGCTCTAATTTCCTGTGGAAAATAATGACACCGGCTAAGCAAAATTGATCATGAAAGCACTGACTTATACAATTCCTAGGACGGAGGTGAGGATTCTAAAGCGTGGACTGGTGAGATGGACTCAACAATGACCCCCAAAGACATCCATGCCCTAATTCCTGGAACCCATGACAGGTACCTTATAGGGCAAAAGGGACCTTGCAGATGTGATTAAGAATCTTGAGAGGGGGAGATTATCCTGGATGATCTGGGTGGGCCCAACTGCGATCACAAGTGTGTTTGTGAGAGAGGGCAGCAGAAGGTTATCTGACTACAGAGAGGAGAAGGCTCTGTGCAGCTTTGAAGGTGAAGGAAGGGACCACGTGCCAAGAACTACAGATATGCCTGGAAGCTACAAAAGGCCAGCGGACAGATTCTCCCCTCTGAGGCTCCAGAATGGTGAGAGAATACATTTGTGTTTGGTAAACCACACTTTGGGGTAGTTTGTTATAGCAGCCATGGGAAACTAATACAACCAGGAAACTTGTAGTGTTTTTTTTTTTTTTTTTTTTTTTAAGATTAATACATTAATATTTTAATGTTTCCAAAGAGAAAAATCCTTCCTTCTTTTAAATTACCCTTATCGGTTGCCTTTGTAACTTGAATTTCCGAATCTGTTTTTTAGATTTCCATTTTATGTTCCTGGCTTCTAAATATCATAAACAGTGATTGCCTATATTGGGGCATTTAGTCACACTCTATTGCCATCATTTTTGGTGATTTTAAATTGACCTATGATTTCAATAGGTGGTTTGATTTCTACTGTATTAAAAATGTATCTTTTAATGTATAAGTTTATCATTTATTTTGAGAGAGAGACTGAGAGAGAGTGAGTCAGAGAGAAGAAGAGGGAGAGGAAGAGAGTCCCAAGCAGGCTCCTTGCTCAGCATGGACCCCAATGTGGGACTCAGCATGGGGCTTGATCCCACGACCATGAGATCACAACCTGAGCTGAAGTCAAGAGTCGGTCGCTCAACCGACTGAGCCACCCAAGTGCTCCTGTATAAATTTATCTTAAAGGTCTACTTTAAATGATTGATTTTACTTGAGTCCCACTTTTGTTGGCACGTTTTTATAGATTTCTTACAAAAGAAATTCGTTCCTGAAAGAAATAATATTCATCAGTTGGAATTTATAATCACATCTTAAATGTACCAGAGCATTTTCCTTAACTGTTTACCCGTGAGCTCAACACACATCCCCAGTCATTTATCCATGCCTTTTGTTATAATTAAAGTGAAAGAATTTTAATAATTTGCCTAAACAATGAAATCTTTGAACATTTTTATTGTATAATATTTGAATCTATTTTATCTTTTCTTTGGTGAAATGATATAGTTATTTTTTCTCCTGGTTTAGTTCAATGAGAGCAATCTTCACTGAAATGATTAAGTGTTCAATATAATGAAATGTAAAATATTGATGATTTAAACCCAGATTGTTAAGTACTTCAAGTGCAGCAAAAAGCAAAGCAAACCAACAAAAAACCCCTCTGGTTCTGTGAGGAACATACCCAGCCTTTCTGGTTAAGTGAGACACAAATGGGTACATGACCATGTTGGTGGAAGAGCTTCACCTGGTCTCCCAAACCTTAGCAATTTTATTCTAAGACTTTTTTCTGGTTGAGGAAAGTGTTGATTGGCAGACCCAGATATCAGATGTTCTGTGAGTTCATATGCAGGTACTTGCATCTTTACTTACTATGTGCTTACTCCCCACATAATCTTTTTGTCTGTCTGTTTTAAACAGATCTGACTCTAACAGTCCCCCAAACTGTATCTTCCGTGTACGTTAAATTTCCATTGACATCTTGAAGGGGAATTTTGTCCTTAATCTTGGCAGCAGGGAGACCTGATTGATACTGCATACTGTAAGTTGTAAAATGCCTGGATCCAGTATGGGAAGGAATGGAATCAAAACAGAGTTTGGCTCTTTCTTCTGGATCATCTTGGGTGCGCGGGTTTGTTAGATGCTTAGGCGTGGACGTTTTCAAAGCACTGACCTTAATTCTGGACATGCAGCAGAAGCCCACGTAGGTTTTGAAAAATACTGGGTTAATGCTATCTGAAGACGAGGTTTTTTTGTGGGTTGTTTTTTTTTTTTTTTTTGAGGTTTAATTGAGTCATGCTTCATTGTCTTTTATTGCATGTTCATGCCAGTAGAATGCTGATTGTTGACAGAATCCTCCCAGTGAAGCGGCTTCAGAAATGTTGTGGTGCTGGAGGAAACTATGTAAAATAAAAAGTCTTATTTAGATCTGAAGAAGACTCAGCTGACAGGTCAAGGGCTATCAGATATTCATAAGTAAGGACAGGGGCTACCTGTCCTTAATAGATCCCTTCTATGTTCTGGGGTATCTGTCTGAGGGGAAAATCTTAAATGCAACCCAAAATGAGTCACATCATATTGGATGCCTTGTAAAAAGCACCACATAAGAAATAAACATAGTTGTATAATAAGAGGGCACTCTCTTATTATAAAGGCTTTTTGCCTTTTTTTCTTCCAACAATAAACAAAATCTATTTATTATTTACTTTTTCTAAGCTCACTTATGGTCTGAAAGAAGAGGCTTCCACAGTAAAACTGTGCATAGAAAGCCCTTGAACTTGGACACTCTCTGCAAATCATTTAGGACCTGAGGTTTAAAGGCAGTAGTTCAGGGGCACCTGGGTGGCTCAGGGGGCTAAGTGTCCTACTTCGGCTCAGGTCATGATCTCACCATTCATGAGTTCGAGTCCTGTGTTGGGCTCTGTGCTGACAGCTCAGAGCCTGGAGGCTGCTTCGGATTCTGTGTCTCCATGTCTCTCTGCCCCTCCTCTGCTCGCACTCTGTCTCTCTCTCTCTCTCTCAAAAATAAATAAACATTAAAAATTTTTTTAAAAAGGCAACAGTTCATTTGGTGACCTTGAGGTACAGCTGACCATTGAACTCATTGTAATTGCTTTTATGGTTGCAGAAGCACCACCTGTGAGTACACTTAAGTTTTCCTCTGGGCTAAGAAGAAATTAAAAAAAAATTTTTTTTAATGTTTTTTATTTCTGAGAGAGAGAGAGAGAGAGGAGAGAGAGAGACAGTGTGAGCAGGGGAGGGTCAGAGAGAGAGGGAGACACAGAATCTGAAACAGGCTCCAGGCTCTGAGCTAGCTGTCAGCACAGAGCCCGACGCGGGGCTCGAACCCACGAACTGTGAGATCATGACCTGAGCCGAAGCCGGACGTTTAACCAACTGAGCCACACAGGCACCCCAGAAATATTTTAAATATGTACTGTGAACACTAGGAAGATTTTGAGGAGGTGGAGTTCACATTCACAGCCACAATTAAAGTTGTGCTTTCAGATAATTAATGGTGGTGACGTTCTTACTGAAGTGTGCCTGGGTCCAAGAGTCGTTGAAGGACATATAGACGTGGCAGGGATGCCAGCTGCCACAGCTTCAGAGGGCACCATCTGTATAACAGTCTGTGTGACCAGTGCACAACCTATACGTCTGCACATAACCATCCTGGCACACAGATGCCAATATCAGCTTCAAAGTCATTTAATAATCTGTAGGGCTTCTTATTCTCTATAATCTGTCGGGAGGCAGAATCCTTGTTCCCCATAGGAGAAACCCCTGAGGAAGTCCAACACAGTCTTCCTGAATATCAAGTTAGTGAGAGTGG